CCTATTGGTCCCGGTTGGTGCCACCAACCGGGACCAAAGGCCCTCCTGCCTGGGCTCGGCGCATCGGCCACGTGGAGCCCCATCTGTCTCGGTTCGTGTAAGAACCGGACTAAAGGGTTAGGGCATTAGTAACGACCCTTTAGTCCCGATTCACAAATCGGGACAAAACGTCCTTATCAATCGGGACGAATGGGGTTTTTTCTACTAGTGGCATACACGTCAGAGTGTGGGAGAAAAACTTATAAGGTGGGTTGTTTTACTCACCACTAAGAGCTTGAGAAGAGAGCACATACACGTTATCTCCTCCTTCGCCGTCAGCCTGGCCTCACACACGCGTCATGTTTTGTGATCGAGACGCGCTAGGACGTATGCAACGTGTGCATGCTGCCTTAATTTTTGTCACGCGGGGAAAAGAAATTGAAAGACGAATCGATGCAATTGGGTTTTTGGGGAGCAATCTAGCATGACTGTTGGATCTTCCACCATCATGACTGAGCACGATGACTTCCTGGAAGATGACTTCTTCCCCGACGTCAACTACCCCCTCGGCGACATGATGAACGGTGCACCTACATCTTTTTCCACCGCACCGTGTGTCGTCTTCTCTCTTCTGTTAGGATGTGTGTCCGGTCTACTGCTTTTATGTACCGATGTGGATATAATGTTTGCCTATTATGTACCCAATTGCATGAATACTTACACCACTTTTCTATGTTTTATCTACCATTTTTCTTGATTAAACTTAATTAAAAATTGCTCAAATATTCAATATCACATGCACGGTTGAAAACTCAACCGCGATATTTGAAATCTCACTCGCGTGAGCTGTAGCAAATGCTTACATACAACTCCATCACTACATGTGTTCCGAAAGGAAAAAATTCCATCACTACACGGATCCTAGGCTGACACGCTTAGCAAGCTACAAATAATCACGCGTGTAAAGCTTACATTGATGAACTTCAACAGCAATCATATTAAGGATTCATGCCGCGCACGATCAGAAAGAACAACTCTGAGTAGATTTGCATGACCCTGTTACAAAATTAAAAAGAAATAGTCCTAGCCCAGTCGACATGCAAAACCACAAGATATTGTTAACAAAAACTCCAGCTTAGATGATCAGCATACCCTTAATTTGATCGTCGAGTTCATCCCGTACGTTCACTTAGATTAGATACAAATATTGTTCATCGCTGATGTGGTAAACGCATGGGTATCCATGCCAGTATGCCGCAATAAGCTAGTCCTTTGAGTTGCATGCATCATCAATAGATCGCCACTCTTGGAAAAGCTCTTTGAGTTGCTGACGTGCCACGAGTCCCGTCACATCTACAAAGTGTACGTCTCCCTTTTAAAAGTTGGACGACAAAGAAACAGCTCTACCGTGAATGCGTGTCATGTCCCATGGTTGCCGGCCCCCCTTCGTTATATATGCGGCATATTCCACAGCTCATATACGTACATTGCATGACAAATAAAATCTCTAGGGAGGTAACCTGGTTGATTGGATGGGCCTATTTGTATGTACATGGGCCAGTGGGCCAGGCCGGATATCAACGTGCCGCTTGGTGGAGCTCCGAGATACCATCCCGGTCCACTGCGCGCGTCAACGCGTAGACGCGTGCCATCGCCGGCCTCACCGAGTCTTCGGGTACTCTCGATATATGGCGATCCCCCTCGCTCATCCCCCTTCTTCTACCGCCGCGCGAGACTGAGCCTCGGCTAGGCCCCAAATGGCGAACCAGCTTCTGTCCACCGTCGCGCACCGCGATACCCTTCCGGAGGGTTACACGCGGCCCGAGAACGACCGGCCGCAGCTCGCCGATGTTGTGACTGACAGCAACATCCCCCTCATCGACCTCGCCTCGCCGGACAAGCATCGCGTCATCGCTGAGATCGACCAGGCTTGCCGCACCTACGGCTTCTTCCAGGTCCGCCTTTTCACCACGTGCATGCCCTTGGTTCTGTTCTACAGTTCGCACTACGCATGTTAGCCTCAGATAAGCCTCAAACACGGCGGCTAGCTAGCTAGATTACTTTTCCAAGCCTTCACGGCTTGCTTCAGCCGCATTGCTTCATTCTTCAGACAAGCAGATGCGGATTTAGAACGTCGGAGCTAGCCCCGGGTGCTCCCATGCCCTCTCTGATCGACGTAGACGGCTATTCGCCGGCCATAAGTATAACATTTTAACCAGCTTGGGTTTGCCAATTTCTTTTAGATCATAAACCATGGGATATCAGAGGAGCTGCTGGAGAAGGTGATGGCTGTGGGGCTTGAGTTTTTCCGGCTCCCGCCGGAAGAGAAGGCCAAGCTCTATTCTGATGAGCCATCCAAAAAGATAAGGCTTTCTACAAGCTTCAACGTCCGCAAGGAGACAGTGCACAACTGGCGGGACTATCTGCGCCTTCATTGCCACCCGTTGGAGGTGTTCGTGCCCGACTGGCCATCCAATCCTGAAACGTTCAAGTAAGCACTAGCAACTCTTAGTCTATATTTTTTTTGCGAGAAAACTTTCGATCTATTCATCAACTATCAAGGTAGTACAAAGAACACTAGAAGTAAAAATTACATTCAGGTCCGTAGACCACCTAGTGACGACTACAAGCACTGAAGCGAGCCGAAGGCGCGCCGCCGTCATCGCCCCTCCCTCGTCAGAGCCGGGCAAACATGGTTGTAGTAGACAGTCGAAAAGTCGTCGTGCTAAGACCCCATAGGACCAGCGCACCAGAATAGCAACCGTCGCCGATGAAGAGAAGCATAGACCGAAAGGATCCAACCTGCAGACACACAGACGTGGATGAACAAAGACTAGATCCAGTCGGATCCACCGAAGACAAACGCCGACCGGATCCCACGAGATCCGCCGGAAACAAACCTCCACATGCCTTTCGACGATGCTTGAAACATTACCGGGATGGGGGGCTAGACGGGGAGGACCTTATTCCATCTTCAAAAAGTCGCCGCTGCCTCGTCTTCTTGAGCATGGCACAAACCCTAACTAAACTCAGAAAACCATCTAAAAATGGAGCAACATGGCTTATTTTGGACCAACGTTTTGTGCATGTTGCAGTTTTGCCTGATGTTGTCTATAAAAATAATTAGTTATCAATTGATTGCACATAGTCATCCGGTAAAAAACATTTGGCCGTATGCATTCGTTCTGATGTAGAGACTGGGGCGAACCCCCCTTTTCGCAAAAAACATCCGGTAAAAAACATCCTCTTGTATTTCTCAAAACGTTCCGTCAGTTTTACATGTAATAAAGCCCACATGGTCGAACCGATACAAACTAGCTAGTGAGAAAATACTCAAACAAGCAGGTCAAAAATAAAATAAAATGACAACCGAGCAAGTAACACAAGTTCTACCAACTAAACACCGAGCGTGAAAACAGGAGACACTACACCTAACAAGAGACAACCAAGACTATCAAACAGGACCGAAACCACATCACCTTGAAAAAAACACCGGACGCCGTAATACCAAACACACCAAACCATCTCCGGACAGGGTCAATTCGCCGTGGAGACCGTCCCCTCGTTCCAGGGCATGGCGTGCTCCTCCTGCCAGAAGATAGCAAGAACTGAGAACAAAGACTACGGGGTCACCCGAATCAACATCTATTTCCAGCAAGCCTATGAAATATCAGACACAAGTAAATGCATATTTGATGGCGCCAACCGCTGCTCCCTCGAGTTCACAAACAAATGACCTTTTGACATAGATGCGGTCTTCGAGATGCAACTTTCATCATTATTTTTTATATATACTATGTATAAAATTAAAATCCAAAAAATATATTGTTCGAATACTTATGTAGACGAATCTATCCATGATTTTTCATGTACCGGATCCAAATATCTAAAGCAATATTGCCTACATGTAAAAAGAGAGGCAATATTGCCAATCAAAGTTTTAGAAAGTTTGACTGGAGGCTTGTAGAAAACAAAACTTACATATTTTGTGCACCAGAGGGAATACCTTTTTCTGAACATGTGAGATGGGTGAAAAATTTATTTGTTTTGGTTCATTTTCTGTGAAAGTGTTTTATTTCATTAACAATGAGATATTCGACATGAACAAAAATAATACTCTCTCATCTCAGGTTCACAACGCCCACATGATTTTTTTTTTGAATGATACACTTATTTCAACAAAATACAAGTTATATACCACAAAAGTTACGAAATTTGATACTTCCTTTGAATAATGCAGCAATATACGGAACGTTCCGTACGATAAAACTATTATTTTGTTGATTGATTATTTTCTTCAAATATGTGCGGACTGTAAACCTAAAAGGAGGGAATAGCATATAATAATAATAAAAATATAGAGCGTAGGATAATAAACAAAAAATTAGTCCCAAATTAGTTTAGCTAAATTATACTATTTATGTATAATTAAAAA